TGACTGAAATTGTGTAAATTGTAATTACTGTAGATGAAATTGGTACCTCTGGGAAATTAAAACCTGGGTTTCTTCAAAGATAAATTTTGAAGTGGTTGTGACAAGGCAGTCATCTTTCTATCATTGTTTTCCAGACCTGTTCCAGAGATTCACCTTTGCTGGAGCAAAAAATATCCAAGATGTCTTCACAATACATCTTATATTTCTGCTGAGATAATAAAGAAAGATAACAATTAATGCAAGATTTGAAATGACTGTCAGCCTACATGAGACTTGATAGAGACCTTCACAAAGAGCCTCTTAGTTGTCAGAGATAACTTTCATTTGCTGTCAAATTGGGCCATATGCTAACCTGCAATCGAGAGGTGAATGATTCTATAGCGGCACATGAAAACTATTAAATAGTCTTGTCTTAACTTCAATAGTCTATGCTGAACAGAATATAAAAAAAAGACAATTATGAAGAAGTTTGTGGATGATATTATGTGCAGTGAGTTTCAGACTGTGCAATTTTATACATATTCTATGCCAAATTTATGAATGAATACTCAGCTTCTTCATAGCGATGCACACTGACTTGTCTATTGGAAGGAATGCAATATGCTGAAATGAAAATGAGCAACTACTGGCTCTGAGCAGGTCCTAAAGTTTCATGGAGCTGAAAATACTGTAATGAAACCTTTTTCATTGACAGTATGTTCCAGCCTCCTCTGTGCATACTGTCCCTGCTGACTCCAAGCAACTAGGGATGCAATTGCTCATTCAGGCTTAAATGGGTCCTACTGGGACTCATAAAGGGGCTGTGTACCATGTAGTCTGCAAAGATAGGGTTATTTCTTCAGATCTTAACTTTTGTGAAATGCAATGTCTTAAATTTGAACAACCATGGTAATTGCTCTTGTCATTACTTTTAGGACAATGAGTATATTTGTTTGCTGGCAAGAATCCCTTGCAAGTACTTCTTTATGTTCTCATGCTATTCTTTTCGTTGTCAGCACTAGTAGTTAACATGTTATAATTCAACTCCCACTCTGGGCAGGCTTCCTCTGATATTCACTAAGAAAGTATGCTGGCTGCAAAGATAGGATTTTAATTTTCACAGTTCATGTGAACTATAGGACAGAGGACGAGATCACTATGTTCTCACGATTCTCTCTTCGTGATAGCATTTAATGATCCATTGAACTTTTTCCTTTGTGCTAAATATCACCAAAATAACATTTATTTTTATTCCTTCTTATGGTGGTGATAGCAGAGTGCAACTTTCTTGCCTTCTCCACCTGTTCTTTTGTGTGTGAATGGCCAGAGCATGCTGGTAATGTCCCTTTGCACTCTGAGGCTGCAATTCTGTGCTAACCTCATTATATCAGATCTCTGGAATGGAAAGAGAAAGAAAATGTGTCTGTACTTACTTGCAAGTTTCCTTTTTAAACCAAAAGATCTTCAAATACTGCCCGTTCTGGAATGAGAAAGAATAGAAAATGAGCATCCATTTTTCCATGGATCCCAAAGTTTTGATTTGCTGTTGTTCAGTGATAATCACTGCTTTTTTTGCTCAAGGTATAGTTAACAGAATATATCATCTGCAAAAGTAGATTTGAATTTGTGTGACTGTTAAGGGGATGATCATTTCTCCATTAGTCAGCGACACCAATCTGATTCTGCTCCCAAATGCAATCAAATGGATTTTATTCTATCCCCACCTGCCCTCTGCCTCCAAAAAATTTACAGGTAGGTATGGGTAAATTTTCCTAGCAAGGTAATGCCAGAAATTTCTTCAATTTTTTTAAGTTTTATCCTCCCCACCCAGTGATCACAGTTGAGCCCAAACAACTTGCTTTTTAACTACCAGATGTTCAGTTTTGGTTTTGGCAGAGCTCTACAGATCCAAGTTTCTTTATCAGGACTAATATTTTTTTAAATTTGCATTTTGGTGCAAGTGTGTTACAGATGATCTGTAACAGTAACTAATGCACATTAATATTATGGCTAAATTTTTTTTTTTACTATAAATCATTCTAATTTTCTTTTGCTTTTTAAAATGGAAGCAAAGGCTGATGTAATGCTTCTGCCATCCTTTGGTTTTGTAAAATATTTGTTGATTCAAATATTATTTATTTACTCATGACAATGAGTCACCAGTAGACAAACAGATCATTTACTCTGCTTGCAGTAGGTTAACAGTAAGTGTTGAAAGCTTACAAAAGGACTGACTTTTAACAGTTGCACATCATTGTAGTTGTACTTTCGGGGATAGAAGAATACATTAGAATGGTTACCTAGAGCTAACAGAAAAGAAAAAAGTTGTACTGTAAACTGGTAGTGGCGTGCTATGTGGTATTCTTTCAGCGCATGTAACACAGGAAGGGAATTGGATTCAACCGTATTCCCATACGGTTCCATTCATTTCATTACAATTATGGGAATAAATCCTGAGTTGTTGAAAGAACAGTGTTTAAAATGTATTTATTTACACTATGATAGCTGTGCTTGAAAAATAAACAGGTCAGAACTGCTGCTGTAATGAAAAAGGTCAAAAGGTAAATTTTAGAGGCAAAGAAAAACTTGCAGGTCAGCCATCTGCTCCTTTGAACTGGGCGGCTGCGTTTGCTGTGGCTTAGTGTCCAGCACGAAGGTGGGTCATATCCTAAGCATTGCACCAGCGCGTGCAACTGTGCACAGCTACGCAGTGACGAAAAGCTCCCTGTGCTTCCAAGGGGCTGCCATCCTCCTCCTCTCCTGTGAGCAGGTGATGGTGGTAAAAGAAATACTGGTCGGTTCTCCTGTGTCTCATCATGGGGCTGTTTTTTTTCAAAATACATGTACAAAACTTGAAGCGATTGATGCTGCCTGCTCAGGCAGCATCTCTGCGTGCTTCCATGTGCCTACAGGAATTGTGCCCAACCACAGCCTCTGCTACACCTGGTGTGGGAATGGGCTGAGCCGGCTGCGGAGCAGGCAGTCTGGCTGCCAACTGCAAGAGTGAGGCTGTGAGAGTGGGAAATCCCATAAATAGGGAAAGCCTCCGCCAGATCAGCCTCATCTGATGAGGCGTCTGGTTTTGTTCCCCCTTTTTCTGGGTGGGAAGCGCTGTGGAGACAGAGCAAAGCCTCTGTGAGTGGCAGTGCTGCTTCTCCCCAGCTGTGTGATGTTGTTGTGTGGCCGAGGCAGGGGCTGGTTAAGCAGCACTGTCTGCTGGCTGTGAAACAAGCTGTTAGTCCGCAGTGGTGAAAGAATGCTTTTTCCCCACTTTATACTTATTATACATCTTGAGTTGAATATTCCCGTACATAACCATGAGCATGTATCATCTGTCTCTGATCACTTTTCCCCCAGCACAGATATTCTACCTCTGCAATGTCATAATCTCATTTAAATAAGCATAATTGAAGCACAGATGTGACAAATGTTAATTTGCATTTTTAATGGGAGGGAGGGTACACAATGTATTTGTGAGTCCTGATAACAGTAAGCTTTTCCTTCCCACTCCCAGACTTGGGATCTTTTTTGGTGTCAGATTTGAAGTAAAATGCTGGAAGTTGTCACCTGCACTGTAATTTAAAAATTACGTGCTGTTGTGATGAAGCACACTCCATACCTAGGAGAAGGAAGCATGAAAAGACTTTTCAATCTATTCAAGGCAAATACTTACAGAGGGTGTTGTGGCAGTGTCTCCTTCGATCCTCTTCTGTAAGATGATCGCTTGCAGGCGTCCCGAGGGTGTTAGGAGAGGGAGGGGAACCTGAGGAGAGCTGAGGCTTTGGCAGGAGCCCGACACCTGGCCAAGATTTGACAGGTAGAGCCAACAAATCACAGCCTTACCTCTCTGTCTTGTGGTCAACAGTGTTCTGAGCCCAAAATCTGTTGCGTGGTTTGGGTTTGGGTGTTTTTTTTTTTTTTTTTTGAAAGGAAAGAGAGGGGAGTAAAGAAAATAAATGCATGTTCTCTCTGGCATATTGTGGGTCAAGCTGGGAACATGAAAACCTAGCTCTAGTCCAGAACTTCCTGCTGTCTCCTTAAGTCTTCCTTAAGACAAATGTAGGAAAATAACCTTTGACATTTTTTATCATTTTAATGCTAATGTCATTGCCTGAGTACATAGAAGTAACGTGGTGGAAACATTTTTTGTGAAAAGCTTCTCTTTAGCTCTTTACAATGCCGTTGTCAAGCAACAGAGGTCTAAATTCCAGTTGGTACAAAAATAATGGACAGGAGGAATATATTTTACACATGTATTTTTTTATTATTACTTGCTGAGCACCATTAATTAATTCAGCAGTGCAGACGTACAGTTCCATGAACATGAGTGTGAAACTCTGGGCAAAGGGAAATGAGAGTGACTAATTGGGGTTCATCTTTTGCAAATGTCTGAAATTAAGAAATAGATAAACAATTTGAATAGAAAAAAATTATGGTAACAGTAATCAAATATTGAGTATTTTCTGTTTGTTGACTTTAGACAATTTCCCCTTCAGCTTAGGTGAGCTCTCCATTACCCTTTCCTGCACGTCCTTGCAGTTGTGTGTAGAACCTATGCAGCTCATTCTGGTACCTTGCATCACCCTGCTGGGACAGGGTACCTACCTTTTGGGTATTGTAGCCCCTAAGCTGGGTACTCAAGTTGAACTTTAAGCTGAGATTTTCATAATGGCGCATGTTTTTGGAGGATGAATGGGTTCTGTGTTCCATCTGTGAATGAACACTGGATTCTTAAGATATTTATATAGCATTGCATATGAGCTGATATTGGACATATACATTTCCACATTATTTTACAAATGTATTATGAGTATTACTTTGAAAGAGTTGCTCAAGTGGCTCATACAATAGCCAGAACATTAAATTTTCTCCATTTGGAGATCTGGTACCTCAGTCTGAAATATGTGATTATCATCTTTGGAAAGACTTTCAGCATGTTTTTAATTTAAAGCTGAAACAAAAGTTAGAGGTTGGTTAGTAGTGCAAATAATACTTTCTGATTATTTTATTTACATCTATAGAATAAAAAACCTAACAGTGGAACTTAAAACCAAGCAAGATGAATTAAAAAATGTGAAAGAAGATTTGCGGTATTTCCAAGAAGAAAAGGAAGCTGCCTATAAGCAATCACAAGTGCTCAGGTAAGAACCCAAAAAGAAATCCCAATGTTGTGCTTCCTGTGAACACGTACGATCAGTTGAGAGGATTCAGTGGAGATGCAGGTGAAGGCAAGGGCAATACTGTGTGCGAGAAGAGTGTTTATAACCATCCTGGTGTTTCTTGCTTTTCCAGAATATAGTGAGATGCTGTAGTGTTAGCAAATGTGACCAGAAAATACCACTGTTGATTGCTGATGTTATTAACCACAGGATAAGTTCTTCACAAATTTAAAAGTATTGATTAACATTTAAAAGCAAATGTGTACCACTTGCTTGTAATGTATTGGAAATACAGTATTTCTTACATATATTGTTTATAAAAAGTCAACATATGGTCATTAAACATGATTACTCTTTCTCAATAAAAATGATTGTACAATTGTCTGTACAGTTTTCTTCATTTATACATGTAAGTTCTAAATCAACATTTAGAAGGGAGGAACTTATAAATATATTAAATATACAGCATATTTCATACACTAAATCATGTAACCCAATATAGTATGAATTATCATATAACAGAAAAGTAGATACCAAGTTTACTTTAGTTCCCAAGTTTACTAATAGTATTTTGTCATTTTAAAAATGTATGTCTGGTATTTTCCTGTCTTGCAGAAATACATTGGAACACCATTGCTCAACTCTGAACAAGGCTGTCTCACTGTTTCCTTTTATTAGAAGTGAACTAGACAGTATTAAAGAAGTCATATCCAGTAACCTGGAGAACTGGGCTGCCATGAAAGAAGAAATTTTTCTACAAATAAAAACGGTTAGCAAAGAAGCTTTGACAGGTAAATCATCTTGCAATAATTTTGGGCAAGATAAAATATTTTTTGGTAGTTGAGTGTAACACAATAAACTAGAAGGTAAAATTAGTTAGATAATTTCTAATTCTGATGTTAACTTGTCCAGTTCCAAAGTATTAGAAGACCCTATCTACTGCTGTGGCACCATGCAAACCGAGTTGAACTTGGTCCAGTTCCTGTTGGATTAGTGTGCTGGATCAATTGTTCAGTCAGCCAAGTCAGACTGAAATGGAAGTAATATAAATATTTACCATGATTTGAAACATTGTCCTGGTTTCAGCAGGGATAGAGTTAATTTTCTTCCTAGTAGCTGGTACAGTGCTGTGTTTTGGATTTAGGATGAGAACAAAGTTGATAATGCATCGATGTTTTAGTTGTTGCTAGGTAGTGCTTACACTAGCCAAGGTGTAAGCACTCCATGCTCTACCGACTGAGAAGGCTGCAGGTGCACAAGAAGCTGGGAGGGGGCACAGCCAAACTGGCCAAAGGGACATTCCATACCATGTGACGTCATGCTCAGTACATAAACTGGGGGAAGCTGGCCAGGGGGCAGGGGGCCGCTGCTCGGGGTCTGGCTGGGCATCAGTCGGTGGGTGGTGAGCAATTATACTGTGCATCGCTTGCTTTGTGTATTATATTATTATTATTATTATTATTATTATTATCATAATTTTATTTCAATTATTAAACTGTTTTTATCTCAACCCATGAGTTTTTCTCACTTGTGCTCTTCCAATTCTCTCCCCCATCCCACTGGGTGGGGGGGAGTGAGCGAGCGGCTGGCTGTGTGGTGCTCAGTTGCCGACTGAGGTTAAACCACGACAAACATAAATAATATACTTAGTATATGGATATGATTGCAACACAAAGACTTGGAGATATTTTAATTTGCCTTGTGTCTCCTACTGCCAGTTTTTAGCACATGCTCATATACACACACGATACTATACGGCAATGGTATAATATCCTTTTGTGGAGCTGCCTGAGGGTCCTGCAGTGCTACCTCCCCATCCCATGGGCAGGCTGCACCTCTTCCCTTGAGCAACTGACAGGTGTACACCTGTGGTTGCCTTGAATGCATGAGCCACTGCATACGAGCAAACCTACACCCAACATGTAGCAACTACTCCCTCCTTCCGTTTCTGAATAAGAACAAGTAATACTCAAATACAGCTGTCTTTATCTGAGGGGTCTTTGGGATTGAAAGGGGCATGGAGCAGCCTGTGGGCTGAGAATAATTCACTTGGCCCACAGCCTGCTTCCTGCTCAAACAAGGGCAGCCTTCAGGAAAAGAGAAGCTGGAAGTAAGGCACAACCGATGGCTTGTTTGTGAAGGTCGTGCCCAACCCTCAGGCTGGTGGTCAGACTTGAAAACTCAGATTTATTCTCGAATACCATTTTTGCTCTGCTTCAGTTAAGAGATTAGTTTTGCTAAAAAAAGTGTGCAGTAGTGTAATTACGGACTGTACCATCCAGAGCATCCAAACAGCCCCTGTGCTGACTTTGGCAACTTTAATGGGCTTTGGACATAATTTTCATGTACATATTCCTTTCCTTATAGTTTTTGTGTGCTCTGCATGTATGAGTTGATGAGCTGCTATTTGCTCTGGAGGTTAGTTTTATCAGGGTTATAAGGTAGCAAAGAAGTAGGTGAGCTGATGTCACGCTTTTTGTCCTTGTGAGAAGGAATATAAGGGGCATGGTGGGCGATGTGCATCTCCCAAATCACTCTGCCGGTGAAACTGTGTGAACTCCAGTGCAAATTCGCAGCTTAAGTGAAACCTGCGTGCACGGGGTATCTCAGAAAATGTGTAGCTTCATTTTAAATAATAGCTCCCCAGTAGCCTATGCTTCCTGTGAAATTAGAAGTAATTTTTAATGTTTTCAATGATTGCTTTGTTCAGAGTGGGAAGAAATAAGTGGGGCAGCTGTGCTGCAGGAGCAACTAGGCACGCATCCCACTGAGAGAGTGCCTGGGTCTGAACAGAGAGTTCGGGGTGTCCTGAGCCCAAGCAGCAGAGAGCCCAGAATGGAGGGCTCTTGCCTGCTGAAGATGAGCGTGACTGGAAAATCATTCTTTAGTATTCAGTTTTTGTAAGAACAATTAATTTAAATGTCAGTGTCAATATCATGCATTTTGATTCATGACTTCATCTCCTAATTAGACTGAGCACAGAAAGTATTGTATGTCCCTAAGTATTCCTCTCTTCCTGTGCTCATTCTCTGCCTACTTCTAGCTAATAAAGGGAATATGAGCATGCATTTCTGCAAACATCTTCAGGTTCAAAGAGACTCATAACATTTTAAGGCTTCTTTTCTGGAGTATCTCATTTTATTTGTTGTAATACTGCAAATATATAGAATATTGAAGCAGAAGTGCAGCCTTTCAGGTTCTTTTGATGATTATACATACCATTATACATGCTACGTATCCCTGACTGCATTCAACAATATGCCCTTGAGAATAGTGCCACAATGTGAATGTTACATACATCCTTAAATCTAGCTTTCTAAATCAAAGCAATTTAGTCACACATAATTTTTTTTTTTTGGCCTGTGAGTGCCATTCAAAAGCTTTTATGTTCTGTTTTATGAGTTGTTCATTATTAATATGTGGTAACATGTTAATATGTAGTAATTTTTTTGTTTATTTTACCTTACTGTTTTTGCAACAAGATTTTCAGAACTTATTTTCCATTCAGATTTTTGAGAAGAAAAATGTTACATGAGGTGCTACTTTTTATGCCTAGACCAGTTTGCTTGGTTAGTTTGAAAACAGCTTATAAAAGCCCTTGTATATGTATGTTATTTAGCCTTGGTTAATTAATGGGAAGTAGAAAGAAGTATAAGAACATAAAATCTTTCGGTATTTACATCATTTAGTCTAACAATAAATTGATTTAAGTGTGGAGTATTTGGGAAAGATTGTAGGTAATGAAAATATTTGCACCGCAGAAAACTTAAAATTTGCACGTGGGCAGCATATAAAACATGTGTAATAGCTGACTTGACAATAGAATTAGACTCCATCTTACTTGAACGTTCTTATCATTAACGTAAATAAAAGTGATATAAGTTCTTTGGACGACTGAACATTAAGGGCTGTAGTTGGAGAAGGCATAGAAAAGAATTTCAACTACTTTTGGAAATGTTCAAATGCACTCATCACGGATAACTGAACTCAGGAAATAATATGAAAATGTAGGAGACCCACTATACCCCACCCATGATTTACTTATTTACCTTGCAGTAAAAACTACCTGGGAAACTTCCTTGGGACTGCTGCTCTTCCATGTTGAAGAGCTGATGAAAGATAGTGACAAAGCCTTCTTATATAATGAAGATGCACTTTCATTACTTTAACAGCAGTAGCCACCTAAAGAGTGAGAAAATAAAATGTAATACACATGCCCAAATATCTTCTGAACCAAAAGTTTCAAATTGAGCTTTAGCAGAGTCTAACCCCCTTGATATCTTCTCAAATTAATTTCAAAATGAGTCTGCAATTGTTTTTGTATGTCAACAATGGTTTGTGTATCCTCTTAAGATAAAAAGCTTGGATTCAAATATTTCTGTCACCTATTGTTATTTCATTTGGAATATATACGTGTATTTTAATTTGAGTTTGAGATCTTGGAGGAAATACGTATTATTGCTTTAGAATAAAATTTGTATTATTTGTCAGTAATATGTGTTTGGCTAAGTTTCACCCTCAGTAAGTTTGCAGACGACACCAAGTTGGGCGGCAGTGTTGATCTGCTCGAGGGTAGGAAGGCTCTGCAGAGGGACCTGGACAGGCTGGATCGATGGGCCGAGGCCAACTGTATGAGGTTCAACAAGGCCAAGTGCCGGGTCCTGCACTTTGGCCACAACAACCCCATGCAGCGCTACAGGCTTGGGGAAGAGTGGCTGGAAAGCTGCCTGGCGGAAAAGGACCTGGGGGTGCTGGTCGACAGCCGGCTGAACATGAGCCGGCAGTGTGCCCAGGCGGCCAAGAAGGCAAATGGCATCCTGGCCTGTATCAGAAATAGTGTGGCCAGCAGGAGTAGGGAAGTGATCGTGCCCCTGTACTCGGCACTGGTGAGGCCGCACCTCGAATACTGTGTTCAGTTTTGGGCCCCTCACTACAAGAAGGATGTTGAGATGTTGGAACGTGTCCAGAGAAGGGCAGCGAGGCTGGTGAGGGGTCTGGAGAACAAGTCTTATGAGGAGAGGCTGAGGGAACTGGGGTTGTTTAGCCTGGAGAAAAGGAGGCTGAGGGGAGACCTCATCGCTCTCTACAACTACCTGAAAGGAGGCTGTAGCGAGGTGGGTGTTGGTCTCTTCTCCCAAGTAACAAGCGATAGGACGAGAGGAAATGGCCTCAAGTTGCGCCGGGGAGGTTTAGATTGGATGTGAGGAAAAATTTCTTTACTGAAAGAGTAGTTAAACATTGGAACAGGCTGCCCAGGGAAGTGGTTGAGTCCCCATCCCTGGAAGTATTTAAAAGACGTGTAGATGAGGCGCTTAGGGACATGGTTTAGTAGGCATGGTGGTGTTGGGTTGACGGTTGGACTCGATGATCTTGGAGGTCTCTTCCAACCTTAATGATTCTATGATTCTAAGTACAAGTTATCTGTGTGAAGAGATATTGCACAAGGCACTTCTTTTGGCCCTCTACATTCTCAGCAAAAGTATTGCTAATATATGTGGTTTACACTGCTCCATACCCAAACTAGGGTTACAGAATGCTGAAGTCCTGAGATTGTAAATCAGGTCTAATACTTTTTAGTGAAGAAGGTAAACTTGACAACAATCTATATGATATTTTTTTTCCCCCTCCTCAGAAATACCCAAATTGAATCAAAGATTAGCAAAATCCCAGAGAGAGAATGAATGCCTACAAGAAAAGGTAAAACATCTGACGCTGGTGGCCGACACGGTTGAGCTGAAAACTCAACAGCTTCAAACTTCACTTCAGCAAGGGAATGAGCTTCAAAGTAGATGCCGTGAACTACAAAAGGAAACATTAGGTAAGGGAATTCTGACACTTCAAGCAAACTTCCAAGTAAAATGAAATGTAAAAAAATTTTTTTAAAAGCACCTAAATTGTGGCTGTTACTGTGAAAGCACTCAGGCCTGAATAAAATGTGGATGTTGTGCAGTCAGAAAAGACAGTATGTCATTCTGAGGAGTCTGTTACCGTACTGGGAACACGAGTCAGCTGAGTGGGGGGGGAAATGAAGGAAGGGAGGAAAACAATGAAGATGGTGGTAATACATTTATGCTGTTACTTGTCAATCTTACGTAAAACATCAGGGAGAAGGCTCTGAGATTAAAATTAAAAGAAATGCTCTCATTTTGATTGGAAGGCCAGGAAGGATTTTTGGCTATCAGCAACAGAACTGAAAAGTAAGTCAGGCTAAGCCAGTCTCTATTCTCATAGATTCATTAAACTTGAGACTGTCTAATGATTTGCCCTTGATAGTGTGTCTCAAGAATCTAGAGTCTCTAGATTCTTGAGACACACTATCAAGGGCAAATCATTAGACAGTCTCAAGTTTAATGACACTTGAAATTATAATATCTTGTGAGCTCTGAGACAATAACTCATTACAAAAAGATTATTTATATTAGTATCTCTTGAATCTCTCTTCTCTTTAACGTAGTATGGCATTTATAGTGCTTTTAAGCATTTTAAGACCTTTAAAACATATAGAGGTTGTGCTGTTCCGGGCACAGTTTTGAGTCATCAAATTGGCACAGCAATTACCATGCTGCCTTATGCACAGTATGTAATGTCAAATTTAAAGCAGTCGGTCTCAGCGCTAGTCATGATGAAGAAATTTCACTGATCCTTCAATGCCAGCGATAATATCAAATGTGAGACTGCAAAGTAGAAGACTGCAGATACCATCCAATGAGTTATCAACCCGTGTTGCTGAGAACAGTCTTTATTTTTGTCACTGTATGACAATACTGTTAGGAAAGCTCCAGCAGGGATGTGTTTGAATGGTAGAAATGAGCAGATAACTCTACATCATTTTCCAGACAGTGTTCATATAAGAAATAGGCTTAATATGTCTTCCTTTTTGTGGTATATATTAAAAAAACCCTAACTTTAAATGAATGCAAAATCAGTTAGGTTTTGCTCTGACAAGATTCTTCTGTGGGCTAGTCACAGCATCCACTTTTGTCTTCCCCCCCCACCCCTCCCCTTGGGGAGCTGCTAAGTGCTCCAGTATCTCAAAAACTTGCCCATGATGTTTTTTGGTAGGCTCATTGTCTGATTGTAGCTACCTCCTGTTATTTAGTCCTCTGTTCAGAGTAAACTCTGGCAGGTAGGATTTGGGGAGAGGGTTGCCTTAAAAGTGTTTAGCTGTAAGTCATTAGCCACAGTATCTCATTCTGAAGACCTGAGTAAATGGAAACAAATGCATCAATTCTATTTAAATTTCCTTTTTCAAGACAATCTTGAACACACTGTTGGACAGTGTGAAAAATCGTACCTTTTTGTTTGGCTTGTATGTAAAATCACTAGGAGAGATTTTTATAGGAAACGAAGTAAAATGCTGGTAGTATATAAATGGTATCTGCTATGTTAATTTTTTGCAAAAAAGTAAACAATCTCAAAATTATATGTACATTTAATATATATATAAAAAAGTATTATATATTTGAGACAAGAGCCTGGGTAAAAAATAATAATAAAAAAGCTAAAATTCCAAATAAACTTAAGATAACATCACTAGAAAAGATAAAATTGAAGGAATTAACTAGTTGCACTGGTTAACTAAATCACGTTGCTTGTCCCCAGAGCATAATGTTGCCTGTGACTCCTCATGTTTTACTTGAAACTTGTTTGGAAAAGATGCTAAAAATGCATTAATTTCTTCTGAAAAGATAAGTGTGTTTCTCTTCCATTAAGAGATTAGTGTTTTATCCAAATAATCTGTGTACATGTATAACTGCCAGGCTTCACTATTACAACGCCACAGTCCAAAATTTGGAAATTATATACTTTAGAATACTCTGTGTGTTTTGTTTCTTAACATTCACCTTCTGTCTTTACTTATGCTGAAGTAACCCTAGAGATTGAGCTGAGAGGCTCTTACTATCTGCTTAAGTGATTCCTGGTACAGTATCACTCAAAAGAAGATAGGCAAGGTGACTGGCTCAAAAACAGCATAAGCGCCGCAGATCCTGCGATAAAACCTACAGCAGTGATTTATTGCTGTTGATGAAGCTTTGGTTTTTTTTCTGCTAGTAGGGTAGCACTTACGGAAAGAAAGTTTGTTTGGTCTTTATTGTGGTCTTGTGCCATGCAAAGAAACTGTCTGAAAGTTCACTCGTACAGCAATCTGGATATTCTACTAGCAGTGCTGATACTTGCAGTGATTTATATGCCACTTTGAGGATGATTGTCACAGATGCCCTGTTCAGAAGCCATGCACCACTATTTGGTACATGCTTGTTACATGCTTTTGTAGCGTCATGTTTTCGTCACGCTGTTGCATTCTTGAAGAAGCAGCAGACATAAAACGCTCGTTTTGCCCTAATACTTGTCTGTCTTCTGTGTTCCTTATAACCGGAAAACTTATTTCCGTGTTCTTTTTAGAAACATCTTCTCCTCTATCCTTGTATAAATAGACACAAGTAGTGATAAGTCATAAGCCATTAGATCATTTACCTTTCTCTAGAAATCTGAATTTCTGCAGTTTTCAAAATGGGTCTACTACCTGGCTGCCTTGAGGAAGACATAACTACATTTCACATGCATTTTGTAGGTGGAAAAATTAATCAAAATAAAACAATCTCAATGCAAAAAATAGCTCCTTCTCAAGTATACTTTGACATTTCATTTGTGTTGAAAAGTGTTTTGTTTTATAAAAAATAAAAAAAAAACTCGTGAGTGGCACAAGTTAAGTTGTCTGCTGGTGTGCAGACTGTTGTAGTTCCTTCCTTAGTGTAAGCACCAAGAACAGACCTTCGTACAATTTCCAGAACTGTAGATTTTACTTTTTATAAGATGCCATGTTCAATATAACTCAGATAATTTTATACTTACTGAGTTAAATTTTTCTGGTGAAGTGGCTGTCTGTGGGCATGTGAAGCTGTCTGTGAATTCAGTGGTAGTTCACATGCATTCTTGGGAGCTGGAATGTTGGCACTCACTGCTGTTGTAGAAAGTCTAAAGTCCATTTAATTCAGTATCCTGTCCTCACCACTGAAAAACACGGCATGGTTCAAAGGAAGGAACAGGAACTCTAGAATAGCAATTATAGGATAATCTGTCTTCCTTACGTATCTTATCTTGATCTAAGAGGTCCTTGAGCCTAATAAGACAATCTTTTAAGCTTTGAAATATGTGGTTTAAAATCATTACGTAAGATATTTGTATCATTACATTTATGCTGATATGAAAACTACCCTTAGTTAGAATTCCATTTTCGGTTTTGTAAAGCTGTTTACTTCAGAGGTTCCTGTAAACAATGAGTTCATAGTTTGTTCACGTGCATTGTAAAAATACACTTTCTTTTTCAGTTTTCCCCACCTTTAACTCCATGGAGAATTGTCTTGTTCTTATGTTAGAAGACCAGAGAAAGATGCTCGCAGTCTATAATTTTTTTTTTTAAATTATTCAGTGTGTTATATATTTTTGTGATGCTTGCATGGCTTTGTGGCCCATCTTCTCAAAATCTGAATTTACTTCCCTAAGTTGACATGTTGCATCAGACCATCACATCAAGCAGTTAGTTATATTTAGGTTCTAATTTCTTAGCTTTAATTGATATGCATAACTTAGGGCAATAACTGTAGTATATATATGAGTATCACATCATAAGCAGGTTCAGACTGCTCACATAGAGCATCTCTACTTTTTGTGCTGAAAAAATCTGAGCTTACAAAGAAGTGACTGTTCTAGAGGGGCTATTCCAGTCTGTAGATCATCTTGCCCTTTTTTTTAATTAAGTTTTGCTGTATAAGAAAACCAAGATTGCTCAACATTTCCTATAAGATCATCACTGTTTTCAGTGGCTTAGAAAATTACCAAACTTAACTACAATGATTTTTGAATATTAATTCCAGTAAAAATGGTCATAGCTTTCACAAGGGTGGGATGGCTGGAAAAGACATTGGATTTTACGTTTAAATGTTATGCTGCAAAAATTTCATTGAAAACCCCATGAATCTTCTGTTCTCTGAAAGAGGACTTTGAGATGGGAGGTTTGACAGTTTTCTTGACATAGAGAACCAAGTTAAACTGACTTCTAAGCCTTTGAAAACTGAAGAGACATTTGTTGGTGTGGTGGCTAAACTCTCTGTGTTTTCAGTTTCAGTCTCCAAAATACAAGGGCTGGGCAGCGCTTTCCCAAGACTTGCTTGTTCTGTGTGTCACTGTGGCGCTGAGCAACAGGACATAGACAAGGAGGTTGCCTCTGCATGCCCCGTGCTGTGCCTGCCAAGTGCCCTGGCTCCTGGGGAAGGGAACAGCCTGGGTGGGGCAGAGACCAGTGCAGGAGCGCATAGGTTAGGATATTGTGGCAGGGATATCAGGGAACTTGGCTCGCTGGCTGCTCTGTAAATGAGCTGGGGAGCACACACTGAGCAGTGAAATGCCAGTCCTGAATAGCTGGAGTTCTTTCGTCCTGTGTGGCAACAGGCGCAGGAATCCTGTGGGATAAAAAACAGCATGTGATTATATCTTGAACAAATATTTCATAATACATAGTTAATAAAGCATGAAAAAACAGCTGATCAGCTGATATTTTTATGTTTGACTGCAGCACTTACCACAATCACTAGTGCAGTTTTTGAGTGTTGAACTGTATATATCTTACCATAGAATCATGGAATGGTTTGCGTTGGAAGGGACCTTAAAGATCATCTAGTTCCAACCCCCTTGTCATGGGCAGGGACACCTTCCACTAGACCAGGTTGCTCAAAGCCCCATCCAACTTGGCCTTGAACACTTCCAGGGATGGGGCATCCACAACTTCTCTGAGCAACCTGTTCCAGTGCCTCACCACCC